CGGTAAATTTCTCGTAACCCAGGCCTTTAATCGGGCTTTACACAAATGCAAATGACTCGGTCAAACTCTCGATTGACCGATTTAACCGACTGTTGATTGCTTTGACTAAAGTTCAAAAGTTTTTCCTTAAATATTTGGCTTTTAAAAAACTTAAGCCTCTGTCTGAGCCCCATTACATTTTCGGTTCATTTCTTTTTTCAAACTTTTTGACCACCAAGTCATATTTATCTGATTCTAACTTCTGACAAACTCAACAGGCACATGGTTGAATTTTTAATTGCACACACAACATATAGACCAAATTGACACCAACACCCTTTAGTTCCTATTTCATTTTACACATTTGCCCTTCAATAATAACATGTCAGCCTCCTTCCCTGCAAAAACCCAATCCCCCATTGCCTTCCATCTCCATCGAATCCGTGCACTACACTATGGTGAAAAGAACAGCATCTGCATATTGCCAGTAAAAAATTTGCTCAGCCGAACGGTGCCGGTCGACCCCTGTGCAAGGCCACACTCGGTGTCCTTATCATCTTCCCCCGACGACACATCACATCCGGGCTGGACTTCATAGTCCACTTGAGCAACAAATTCCTAAGGCTCCGATCTGCAGCTAACGAAAATGGCCTACGACGTCGGCGATTTTGGTTATTATCCGGAAACCATGGTACGCTTTCAACTCAACTGCTTCCCTCCCCCCTCCCCTCGGTTTGCATCCCCATTCTAGAGTTATTGACGCCTATATGCACCTTGTACGTAAGCTATTTCCGCCATTCACTTGCTTCCCTAGGCTTTATTGGTCCCATTTTTTAACTACTACATTTTTTTTCTGTTTCTTATTTGCAAATCGTTTATGTGTATGCATTTGTTATGTTGCTGTGATCCACATTGTCCAGAGTCGTTGATGTTGTTGCTTTTTTGGTTGGAAATAGATGCATGTTTGAAATACAGTAAATTGACGTTGTTTGTGCTGATAAAGACTACATCGTTAAAATTAAAACTAGCAAATGCCCAAAATTTTCATCTTGTTGAGCAATGATTGGGCTTGGCAGGAAGAGACAGGGCCTGGTCCTGAACTTGTTGATTTAGGTCTTCTTGAGTAGCAACGTAATTCATTTTTCTACCATCGATATCATCTCGAGTATCTTCCCTTCTTTGTCTATTTTCTCAAATGGGTATTGCTAAAGTTATCGACTAGCATTGAGATGGGTCTTCCAATTTTGAGTGATTCCAGTAAAGAGAAGTCTACATATACTACAGATTGTTTAAAAATGAAAAAAAAAACTGACATATATTGTATATAAGTCTTTTAAGAAGGTGGATTGCTTTCATAACCTCTGTTTATAGGAGAGGTGTCCAAGAATACAGTCTTAAGGGTTCTGGTATCTAGTTTAGATTGACATTTTAAGGAATCCAACATGCCGATATGAGTGAAATATTGTTAGAATGTCTGCATAGGATTCTTTGAAACCTGAAATCTAAAGAGCTGCCACACGACCATTTCATTGACACCTTTGCATATCTTTCTGTACCAGTTGCTTCTGATTGACTTTACCTGTAGTTTTGAAGTATGTTTTAATAAATCTCATCGTACTCCCTAAAGGGAGGAAAATTTTTCATGCAAATACCTACTCAATTAAACTCAACAAAGCCTAGTTCAATACTTAGTTGAGGTTGGCTATATCAATGCTCTTCTTGCATCACCCTATGTCACACTTAAATTATGTATGTGTTCTGATAGCCCAACTATTGTCTAATACAACATCGGTCCTATAGATTTTCCTCTTAATATTACAAGACACATTGATCACTCGTCTTCCCTTTTAAAGTTTGAAAATCTTCTCATCCTTTGATGGTCCTTAGGATTAGGTGCTGATGGAGATGTGGCAAAACTGTGCTGCAGGCTGGTCTCCTATTCATTTCCCTAAACAAAAAAACTTTTACAAAAACAAGGACTGTAGCACTATTGGAGCTCATGATATCCATTCTTTTTCCCTGCCAAGTGCCAACTTCATTTGTCTAATGCTTTCAGAAAGTTCATACAGTTAGAACTTGACTGCATGATTGTAATTGTTAGTATTACTTTGCATTTATATGTGTACGAAAAGTTAATTTTGCAGTACACAATATTGTTTAAGAATTCACAATATATCAGTCTTTCTATTAACAGAAGCATTACCAAGTATCCATTTATGGCATCACGATCTTTTATATACAGTTATGGCATTCAAGCTTATATTGCAAGAACTTAGTTGAGTTTTACAATTAAATTATTACACTAATTTGAAGAGCTGCCACACGACCATTTCATTGACACCTTTGCACTGTTTTTTTCATTTCTCACAAGCTCTTACAACTATAATGTGCAACATTTTTGCAGACTTACACGACACAAAATCTGGACGCCATGCCCGCCGCATCATCGAACCCTCACCTGGAAAACAAGTTGGAGGCCCGCAAGTGTGCTAGATGGGAACCTCGAGAGCAGAAGATCTTCATGTCCGCCGCCGAACACGTTACTGTAGAGGGACACTGTCGTGGAAAGTGCTTCTCTTCAACAGGGTGGGAGCGCTTACGCGAATTGTTCAACAAAAATGCTAGGAAGAACTGGACTATTGCACAGCTGAAAAACAATTGGGGTGCTATGCGCACGGACCATAGACTACTGTTTGAACTTCTCTAGTGCACGGGAATAGCTTGTGATCTGAGCATCGGGGGCAGAATTGATGCTTCGGAATGGTGGTAGAAGCAGAAAATTAAGGTAACCACATGTCAACAATCTTGAGTTACACTAGCTTTCTTAGAAACGGTTTTACATGTGAAGAACTCCATAACACTGCACTAATGCTCCCGTTTTTCATTGCAGGAGAACTCTCGGTATGGAAAGTTCAAGGACAATGACAACACGGAGATCTACCGTAAATATAGTCGTCTGTTTGGAGGTAGTTGTGACTCCATGAAGGACGCACTGACACCCACGAAGCTGTCTCAACGTGGGTTTAACTTGGGCGCCAACTCCGACTCAGATCATCCGAACGACACGTTACCTATCAACGTCAAGACGACTGATTCGAGCGACGGTCGACTCCAAGAAGAGCGGGCTCCTCGATGAATATCCCCTTGCGTCGAAGCGGCGAGAAACGTAAGGGAAAACATGCGAAGGGGAAGTGGAAGAAGTTCGGGGCGAGGGAGGTTAACCTCGCTTGCGCATCGAGGGAGATGGCCTCTGTGATTCGCGCAAGAGAAGAGGGGCGTATGACACTCCATGAATGCATAGATGATTTGCTTTCAACTAAGCTTGTTGAAGTCGGGGATGAGTTGCACATGTTCGCATTGTGGTTCCTACGAAATTTTGAAAATCGTGTCGCATACAGTGCAGCTAAAACGCCAGAGATGCGCTACAAGTGGATCGCGTATTGTTTTGAACGCGACAAAATGCCAGGTTCTGGGAGTTGCTGATAGTGCTTCGACTGTATGTGTCGTTGGTTTGAGTTCGTTTGTACGCTTTTTAAGTTATCGTCTGTACGGCTTGTTGTAATAATACTTTGTTGTTCGACTTCCTGTTTGCACGTTTCGCGCACTACACTGTGCGCTATGTATTTCGTACTGTTGAATGTAATGGAAATAGGTGCATGTGACTCTTTTTCATGCATGTAAACAACTATTTAATTCCCGTGTACCAGAGAACGACGTAAAGGCTGAAAATATCTCGCGCAAAACGAAAAATTCGGGCAGAAACACGTCGTGGCCACATACACAACTATTAAGTATTGTCAATAACGTATATTCCTACAATGTTTAACAATTCTATTACTGTTAGAACAACAAACACTGTACACTTGAGTAATTGTGTATCAAGGACAAAAAAAAATTTAAATGTTTCAAATCTACTCCTGCAACATAGAAAAATAGCCTCTTAGTTGTAAGGAAGCAACAACTGATAGAGAAAGATGTCCCTCCCGGGGACTCAATTATTTAGTAAAGTGAATAATTCTACATCTATTAGCTTGATGTGATGTCACTGGTTAGGGAAGATACAAAAATTTGGACTTAAATAATTGCTTACTACATAATCCATCACTACCTAAAAGTTGTCTTCCTACTCTCACAAGTTCGCAAAACGTCAATGACTCTAGAAAAGCAAATATTTTTCCACATAAAATGCGCTCGGGTAGACTCCATAATGATCAACAGTATGTCCGTGTACTGCATAAAACTGTTATACACGTCTATAGTTTAGGAGGAGCCAAATCTTTGCACATAAGTAATTTGGTCCCACAGACTCCATTATTACGTGAAGGTCGGAATCCAACTCCTGACAGTTTAAAATATGTCAATAGCTCTGTCAAAGCAAAGATTCCCCACGTGATACAACGCATATATCTCCTATTCAGTGCACCTTCTACAGGCCTGCTAATGGAATCAATAATTGTCAGCGCTAACTGTATAATATTGATTGCATGTATTGCAAAGGCTCCTGCTATAAGAAGGTTATTCCCCTAATTGGTGAAGTAACAGGTTACGCAAATATCATCCCAATCACAGTGGCAATTTGACGCTAAGATGTACAGTGAATATATTTGTGTGTCGTGGTAGCGGTTTTAGTAGATGACAGACACGTCTGGTTCGCATATGTCATCGGAGACCGATTGTGACCTCGTGTCGAACTCTTGTTCGGACGACGAATCGGATGAAGACGTACTGCAGCAGTTGGAGGCGATATGGTGGTGTGGCTACAGTATTGTCGTATCGCTGAGCGGATGGTGTGCCAGTACCTCGTGTCGGATCCAGCCCACCGTTACTTATTTCCTACAACACAAAGCGGCCATATCTTCATGTTGCAGAATATGCATGGGTACCCGCAAACGTGCTTTCAGGAGTTTAGAATGTACCCGTCCATGTTCAGGCACTTTGTACATATCTTGAGAGATCGCTACGGATTGGAAAACAGTACGAGCATCGATATATACGAGTAGGTCGGAATGTTTTTGTGTATAATGGCGCACGGGAAGGGATATCGCCAAGTGCAAACGCTGTTTGGACATTTGCTGCAAATCGTGGGCCATTATTTCAAGCGCGTGCTTCGTGCCGTCGGTGCGCTGGCAGTAGACATGATTCGACCTCATGAAAACTACAACCGTGGCGCTGCAAGTCATCACCCCGATCCACAGCGATATCCGTTGTTTCAGGTACGTTTATGTTGCTGCACGTTGTACCGGTGGTCAAATTAATTGTGCCATAATTTATTCGAGTATTTGATGTGGTTTGAAATGGACGTCGAAGGATTGTATTGGAGCTATTGACGGGACCCATGTGCGGGCGGTGTTCCCACGACATAAAATAATTAACTTCATAGGCTGAAAAGGGGTGCCCACTCAAAACGTCTTGGCGGCTTGCGATTTCAACTTGTGCTTCACATTTGTGTTGCCGGGAGCATGGGCCCACGCAGGATAGCCGTATACTAGCTCACGCGGTGCATAGTTCGGACATACACTTTCCGGAACCGGATGACGGGAAATATTACTTGGTGGACTCTGGATTTGCACATCGGTCGGGGTACATGGCACCGTACAAGGGGTCGGATGTACGTTATCACTTCCAAGAATTTCACGATCATGGTGGCGGCAGACGTCGATTTCGTAATGCACGCAAGAGGTTCAACTTTCATCACTCATCATGTTGAAACGTTATTGAGCGTGGATTCGGAGTCTAGAAGCAAAGATGGAAAATTCTAAACAGGATGCTTAGTTATTCATATCGAGCCCAAATCGCTGTGGTCGTGGCAGTAATGGGAGTCCATAATTTTCTGCGATGTAAAGAACAGCTCGATGAAGGATTCCGCAGGGCCGATGAAGTTGACGATGAGGAAGTCGAGGTTGAGTTACCCGATGAGGAAGATAAAGCTGCAGCGGAAGAGAATGCCGTTGCGGACGAGAATGTGTCGTGGACCAATTACGAGATTACATAGCGCACACCATACGCTGACTAGGTTAACGCTATCTTATTGTTGGAAGCCGGTATGAAAGCGTTAATTACCATTGGAATAAATGTTGTAATGTGTGAATTTGTTTCGATGCAATGAACGCAAAAATATTATTTTCGTCAAACGCACGCTCGGATATGAATTCTATGCTAACGTAGAGACATAACAATTTTTTTGTCTTATTTATATGTGTGAAACGGAATTTTTTTAATAGAGGGGCAGTAACGTCAATGTATGCTATTGTGACTGTCTTCAATTTTGGAATTCAACATTTTCAACCCTCATGACAGGGTCAATCCATGCACTAACAACGTGGGTGCCGCTGGCCATCTATTTTTGACTGAAGAAAATGGGGTTCAGACACAAGCTAAGAATAGAACCTTGGACCTCGAGATGGGATGGACAATACCTAACCACTAGAGCTCAATAGATTATATATATATATATATATATTTTTTTTTTTTTTTTATAGATATATACAATTTATATATATATATTTATTTATATATATATACACTTTATTAAAAATATTTTTAAAAAAATTATGGTCCTAATTTTAATTAAAATGAATTGAATATTGTACAAAATAATCTAAAAATATATTAGTAATTAATGATAAATAATTTAAAATTTTTAATTTTATCTCAAAGAAAATTTCATATTCTAAAAAAAACTTTCTTAGAATTTTTAAGTAATGACCCACCAGTCCAATCATGAACCCACCGGTTCAACCACTAACACAACAAAATATTTTGTTTATAAATTCAAATTTTGTCCTTGCTAACACATATTCTTTTAAAAATCACTATTCAAAATTTTTTTTTTCCAAATAATGATTGTTAAAATAGGGGACACTATTAAATAAAACTATACTGAAGAAATTATTATTATTATTATTATTATTATTATTATTATTATTATTATTATTATTATTATTATTATTTGAGTTTTTGCATCAACTTCAAACTAAAGGAAAAGAAATACATTTTATAGTTGTCTTTTGCATTACAAATTATCACGGGCATGGAGGGTTTTGTGGAGTAATAGTTTTTAATTTAAAATCACCTCTCAAATTAAAACCGAAGAGACATATTTTCAATTCCTATTTAGTCCTATTTTTTAAAATTCATTTTTCCTCAAATTTATTTTTAACCATATAGTATGTTGACGTCAAAATTAGTAAGGCTAATCTTAAGCCAGTTTTTTTTTTTTTAAAAAGGCGATTTATTATTGAAAAAAGACCAAAAATTAGTTTAGAGGGTGTAATTATGCCTTGAGTTGTTGTATGAAATCACTTGCTCTTTACAAGAGTCCTATTCAACTATTTATACATAGTTTCAGTTAATATTACATCAAATCAGCAACAGTACCGAGCTCGAAACTCGAGTCGTCGGATTCTCTTGTGATTGGTCGATGAGGCCGATGGCTATGTGTCAATATTTTCCCCAGGTAATGATGAGTTGCAAGGGACTGGAGGTTGAGGACTTAGGATTGGTTGTTCCGGGCGGTGATGATGTCACATGTGGCAAGTGTATTTGATTGATAAGGTGATGTGACATGGGGTAATCATGATATTTTTCTGAGATAACGGCGGGATCGTCCGACCTGGGAGTAAGGACCGAACTCACATTTAACTGAGGTGGGGTTAGCAAACTATTTTTATTAGATCGAAGTTCGGATGTCAACAGTTACCCCCTAGGTCAGTTCTTCCGTAAGGAGGGCCGACCTTCTGACTTCACGGGTTCTTTTTCTAAGAAAAGTAATTATTATTATGCCAAATGTCATGCCTGGATAGGGATGAGCTGTACGACATTTTTAGATAGCTTCTTTGATAAGTTTCCTGATGCTGTGTCATTTAGCCCAGGAGACATTTCAATCGTAGATCTTCCCTCCTTTTTAATATCCAATGGCATTTCATTTTGTCTTTTTACTTTACACTATTTTCTCTCGAGTGATGCTACACCAACAAAGGAGGATGACAAAGTTGGTTGACAAAGTATGAGTTTACAATATCTTTATCACTCATTTCAAAAACAGTTCTTGAATTCAAAACAGATTAACGGCTTAGATCTTGCCAACATTGATTTTGTCAACACTCTTTGTTAACCTACTTTGTACAAGTAGATTAATTGTTTTCTCTCAAAGCACCAAGGAATTTTAAGCACGCCCTGTCTGTCGTTTAAGTAAGGTCGTCATTCGAGTTTCCAGGTATTCCTTCGCTTCTTCACTTAGTCCGTTTGTTTTGTTCTTTTCCATGAGTTCTGATGATTTGAGGGTTCAATCTTGGGGAAATCAACAGGAAGAATCTGTCCCTTCTACTTCTAGTTCGTCCTCGGGGTGTAGAGAGATTTTTTTCTCTTGTTCCTATTTCTGTTGCTAACCCAGTTACTTTGGCCCGTCCTGTGGAGATGGGGCGAGATAGGGTAGACGAGGAGGTAGGTTCCCCAATGGGTAGTGAAGGGAACGATCAGTTGGAGTGGGGGGCTGGTTCTTACAGGTCGGTAGTTACAGGTGATGTGTTAGCTAGTTGGAGGGCAAAATATGATATTCCGAGTTTGGTAATTATGATAATCCCTGAACCATTTGACCGTGCTGACGCTCCCCCTATGAGATATGTCGCATTGAATTTTGTCATCCTTCAAGCCGGGCTGAGATTACCTATTCCTAGGGTTATCCGTAAGTTCTTGTCTTCTTGGGGCATAGCTCTGATCGTCACGCTTATTCTGTGGGATAAATTAGGTAACCCTGAGCTTACGATTGAGCAGTTCAACTCTTTACTTTTAAGAAGGATGAGAAGAACTTGGGTTGGTGGTACACAAGTGTTAGGCCAAGGATGGGAGGTTCTATGGTTTTAGATACCCCCTCCTCGATTAAGAAATGGAAGGAAGAGTGGTTCTATGTGTCGGGGGAATGACAGTTTCATTCTGCCGAGGTGAATAGGGACGACGTGGTCCCAGCGCTTTATCACTCGTTATGTAAGTAACTGCCTCTTGGTGTTTTGACCTAGATTGTATTCCGAGCGGCTCTAATTGATATCATGTTACTATGAAGATTACAAGAGGCCTACACTGAAGAAAGGCACTCAGAGGCGAATGGAAGCAATTCGTGCGTTGCCGAAGAAACAGAGATCTTGCAAATCTTTGCTTTGAATTCCAACCTTTTCCAGGCCGGCTTGATTCAAACTAGGGTGCCCTTGCCTTCCACTGTCGCAGCGTCTACATCGATTCCGACCAGTTCAGGTCGGTTTTGATTGGTTTATTTAGGTGATATTTGTTAGAGTTGAGTACTGACATACTTTTTTGTTTACAGCTCACAATTTAGAAATGTTGAGATACAAGGCGACGAAAGCTGCGGCCGCAATGAAAGCTAAGAAGAGGGACATCCCGGAATGGGATGAAAGCCCTTCTGAGGAAGTGGAGGACGAGGTCCCTTAAAGAGGAACCGTACTGGAATGCCGGCCATACCAAGGTCCCTGAAACTGATCCTGCGTTGAGCTCTTCTCCTTTGGTGGCCATCACTTTTCCGTCTCAAGCTCATACCTCGCCACCTCCTACAGCACCTACTTTCGCTTCGACTAGCTCGACGAAGGTGCAGGAGAGGTGCCCGGACTTACAGAGGCCATCATTGGACAGTCTGCTAGGCCACCGTCCAGAGATCTTCTTGGATTACTTACGAGCTCCATCTCCATCGAGGGAGGTTACTGCTGCACTTCCCCCACCTCTGCGTGATTCTGCAAACCTGCTTACTAGGAGTTGGGGTGAAAAGGAGCAGGGCTTTCTTAATATGATGCCCATAGGCGAGGCCTTAGTGACTGCTCAACTCCACGGCCATCGCTCTACATGATGGTCGTAGCTGATAAGGTATTTTCTTTACTTCATTTTATTTGATGATTTACATATTTGCGAGGTGCTTAACTTATGGATTTCAATGTAGGTGAAATCTAAGCTCGACAAACTGATGGAGGCTAAGGATTAGGCCTTGAATTTGTATAACAGCATGGAGGCTGAGAGAGCTCAGTTTGCAATAAAAGAAAAAGAATACGAGGAGAAGCTTAACACAAAGGGGGTTTGAGCTGAACTCGAGGCTGGAGATGGAGGAGAAGTGGATGGGGGAGATTAGAGCTCTGAGGGAGGAGGCCAGTCGTAGGGTTGAGGCTGAGAAGAAGAGGATTGAGGAAGAGAGAGTTCGGACTGAGGAGACTGTGGAGAAGGTAGGGGAGGCAAATGAGAGAGCAAGAGAGACGATGCGTAGAGCTGAGGAGGCTGAATCTAGGGCTACGAGGGCAGTGGAGACTTGGAGGTCGTCCTCCGAGTTTAACGCTCTTGCTCAGGATGCTTACGTCGTGGCTCTGAAGGAAGTAGTAAAACACATTCGTAGAGAGAGGCCAGGGTTCGACGTGAGTTTCCTTGAGGAGGCTGTGGAAGAGCAGAAGGATGAGCTTTAGCGTTTATCGGAAGCGGCAGGGGTTCGAATTTCTCCTCCTGATGAAGATGATGTCGTTCCTCGTGAAGACCTCCCTCCCCCGAGCTCTTCTTAGGACATTTTTTTGGATTTGTGATGAATTTGTTAAAATTTATGGATATCTTGTTTGTGCTCGAAGGTGAGCCGTACTCTATTTTGAATGCTTATGAAAATGCATGTTTTTTTTGTGGGGTCTAAATTTTATTGCTTATTTCATCCTTTCGTGAATTTTTAATGATGAAATGTCTTCTAGTCAGCATATGTGACAGAATTTGTAAGTCATGCGAACCTAGATCGGCCTACACATGCTGCTGGGCTTCGTAGAATTTCCAAATAGAAATTTTCGCTAAGAGTCGTAGCATTTACGACCTTAGATCGGCCTATGTATGTAGCAGGGTTTTGTAAGCTTTTTTAGGAGGAATGTCCAATAAGGGTAACACGTACAACTTTAGATCGACTTGCGTAATTAGCAAGGCTTTGTAAGATTTCTTAGGAAGAATGTTCACTATGGATCGCAGCACTTA